TAATTCTGTTTTTGATAAAAATCCTTTTGGCTAAAATGCCATCAGAACGCTGATAATATTAAGTGTGTCTCAGCCCCCCCCTTCAGTGTCCACCATATTGGATCAGTCCATTTGCTGCACATGTTCAGAAAGGTCCAAACAGACAGCAGCAAACCATTTGAAAACAAACCATGCAAAGAGCAGTGTTGCCAACTTAGCGCTTTAGTCGCTATATTTAGCCACTTTTCAGACCCCTCTAGCACTTTGATTTCTAAAAAGCTCCTAGCGCCAAATCTAGAGACTTTTTTCTGCTACTGGAGACTTTGGAGACAACATCTAAAAGCAGCGAACTCTGCTCTCCAGAGCGAGTAGATTGGTAACCCCGCCTCCTGCTATCCTCTATCTTGTCTGCTGTCATGATTCATGCAGCTATTATTTCATCCAAATGAAAAATGGAGAACAGATAAGCAGATCATGGCTTGTCTACAGTGAAAAGAAGGACTGGGTTATTTACTTTGGCCTTTTTGGAAACACAGGAAGGAGCAATCAGCTAAGTGAGCTTAGTGCTTGGAAAAAATCTTTCATTCCTTTAGAGACAGCATGAAAAGTCAGCTGAGTACAAAACATAGAGAGGAAAACAAGAAGAAAAGGGACAAGAAGAGAGGGACACAACCTAGAACAGAGAATGGATGTCTATTCTATTAACATTTCTCTATCTGGAGAATGGGGCTGTTCTGTGTCTTCTCCATTTAGAGGGGCCCCTGCCTGTCTTTGCCTAGGGCCCCACATTTCCTAAATCCGCCCCTGAATACGTTACAAGCACAGTTGCTCTACAAGTAATAGAAACGTTCAACAAGATTTAAATTAAACATGAACATGAAAGATTTCAATTCTATAAACTTTCCTAGAGCGTCAATCGAACCGTTTTCTCTGAGCAAAGTAAGAAAAATGCCTTTTTTCTGCATTCTAATTGTGCTAATGGGGCAATAAAGGAGCTGAAGTCATGGGAGCCAAGTTTGCGGCCGGACTGTCATGTAGGAGGATTAATGAGGTTTAGCTTTATGGATGAAAATGTCTGAATGCAGAAGCCTATAAAGTACAGCGATGAGTGAGAGATTTATTACGTGTTATAAATGGCCGTGATCCATAATAGATCAGATCCAACACATGCAGGAAGGCAGCAGGTGCTTTATAATAAACACAGTAATCTCACACAGGCCAGAATAATATTAAGACAAAATGCTTAACTGAAAATAAACCTTTTACTAAAGAAGAAAATAATTTTATCTTCTTTATAAAATGCCTAGTTTGCAACTCTACTGATGTTTCACTGTCTAGTAGGGGAGGGGCGGCCTAGTGGGCATAGAGATTGGAATCCTGAGGTTCTGAGTTCCAGCCCCACTCCCATAGACTGCAACTCTGGGTCCCTGAGCAAGACCTATGGGGCCAAAATTGTTCCTTTATTATTTACAAATGTGTGTGGAGAGTTGTATATCTGTATCTCGATGTGTGCGTGTGCAGGGGGATTTGAAAATGAAACTGTAAATGTGTGAGGAGATTGGTGTGTCTGTACAACAATCTGCAAATGTGCAAAACTACTTGTGTGTGTGTGTAATCTGGTTTGCAAATGTGTAAAAAATCCACAAATCTGTATTCAGATCTACAAATATGTAGTAAGATTTGCAAATGTTTAGAACAATCTGTAAGCACACAGAGACACTGTGTCCGAAGTATTTTCGCTTCAACACCCAGAAATGCAGCCAATCAGCCTCAGGACCGCACCCCTCCTGGAGCCAATTGACTTGCATGGTCTCCTTCTTCAAGTGTCGTTCCTGACATCCCTCCTGCTCACCAGCCGTCACTCTACTCACCTCCACCCCTCCTCCTACCCAAGAAGTGCATGGCGGGATGGGCGCCGTCCCGTTCATCCTGGGCTTATTCCACCATCACTGTCTGGACACCGGTGGAGGATTTATCCTTTGTCCCCTAAATCCATCGACCTATTCTTCCATCAGCTCTGAACACAGAGTTTTCATCCCATATCTGAGTGACTTATATAAATCATTAATGTCAATAAACTATTCTAATTACAAAAAAAAAAAAAAAAAAACCCAGAAATACAGACACATCATTGGTTACAAGTCCAGCGGTTTCTCACTTGGCTCTCTTTACACTCGTGATGTTTGCTACACTTCTGCCGTGTGAGATGCACAAATTACAGGATTTGTATCTGTAATATCTGGATTTGCTGCCCTGGGTGCAGACTCGCAGGCTCGCAGGCTGCAACAGTTCCGGTGGCTCGATGTGGCTCATCAAATATTTTTCTTGCCGTTTTTCGGCAAATGCCTTATTTATAGTACTTCTAACTAGATTGTGTTTTTTTTTCTTAATATTGTGATGTTATTGCTTAATAAACTGCATTAAAACCTTTATAATGCCCGGCAGCGGGCACCATCAGCCACTCCGGGGGCAGCATCTGCCGGCAGCGGGCACCACCCCTCTGTTTTTCCCCCTGCACACGCCCCATAAAGACCCTTAACCCCACTCTGATCTGCACAATGGCAGCCCATATAAAATAAATGTAGAGAGGGAAATTTGTTGCTTTGTACTTGTGATAATATAATGACTATAAAGTTTAATTCTATTCTTGTGTAGTTGTAATGTAAGGCTGTTTCCTAATCTGTGTACTTGTGCACTCTCGTGAAACGTCATCAGCACTAGCACTGTTCCAATTCACAAGAGGAGCAGACCGAGAACGGACAAAGTCCCCGGATCTTGTTCTGGCCCCTCCCTCTTTACCCAGCATGCATCAGAGCAGACTTGTCCGTTCTCCAGACTGACAGCTGTCCCAGCATGCACTGCAGCAGCAGCTTCCAGGTTAAAAGTTCCATTTTCTGTTGCTGTTGTTCAATAAAAGTACGTTTTAACATCATTTGAGGCGAGAAAATTATGCTACGTTCACCCCGGACGCAACAGGCGCAGCAGAAGCAACGAGTTTACATGCAAAGTCAATGGTTGACACGCATCAAGGCGCAGCAAAAGGTCCCGCGGTTCGTTTTGAGCAGCAGGCGCAGTGCGTCGGGGGCGTTTAAGCGTCTGACGCGCCGCAAACACGCTGCTGCTCGAGATGGAAAAATTTTACTTTTGCTGCTCGACGCGCCGCGTCAACCAATGAGAGCAGCTGATCTAGGAGCTGGCAGGGAGTCAGACACATTGCTGATGACACAGAGCGCTATGATCACTCCTCTGAAACAGTTTATTAACTCCTAAATTAACTTAAAATGTAGAAATCTGCCGGCAGAATATGTTGGCTTTTATTATCCTGCTGCCTGCAGTTTGGATTATTTAGATGAAAAACACCCAGAGGCTGCCGTTGAATGGGATTCCTACTGTCGGCGCACCGCTGGTATGTGGGGGTCTGAGCGGCTCCGACAGAAATAACATTGGGAGGCAGGATGGTAATCTGGATGAACTGACTGCACTGATGAAGTTTTCAGGTGTATTTTCTCACTTAAAAACATATTAAAACTACTTTATTCCCACTGATCACAGCAAATATAGCTGCAAGGCAAAGAAATGATAGTGAAGCTCCGCCCAACGCGCGTCAGACACACTTTCTCACCGCGCAGCCAGAGCAGCAAAGCTGCCTCAGCCGCGCGTCAGAACTAACTGGTACAAGCAGCAAAAAGGAAGTAGCAGACGCGATTTTGCTGCTCCTGCTGCGTCCGGTGTGAACGCAGCATTATACTTTAAGCTTCACTATATGGAACATTTACTGACCCATTGTCATGATCCGCCCTGATAGCTGACCTTAGTGGTTCATGTCACTCTCCTGCCTAACTCTGCCCGGTCTCTAATTATCACTCATCATCTGTTGCTTTATTCTCGGCTCAGCCCAGCTATCAGGGCCAGATTTTGGTTTGTTTTATGTTTGTTTCATTAGTCTGAGTTACTCCCAGGTTCATGTCCCCACTGGGTTTAGAGGTGTTTGGTGTTTGTCTTGTTGTCCCCTGATCATGTCCTGCCTCCCAGGTGGAGTACAGTTTAAAGCAGGCATCACCAAAGTGGGTCCCTGAGGGCCGCTGTCCTGCAGGTTTTAGAGGTTTCTCTGCTTTAGCACAGCTGATTCTGACAAATGCAGTTCAGCAAAAGACTTTTAATCAACTATCAATGGAAATCAGCAAACCTCTAAAACCTGCAGGATAGCGGCCCTCAGGCACCGACTTTAGGGATGCCTGCTTTAAAGTTTCGCAGTTATCGTGGTACCATGTCTTGTCTCTGTCTCTCAGCTACTGAGCCTGCCAGTCTGCATCTGAGCGTGTCTGTCTGAGCTCACTGCTGGACCGATGGAGCTCTGAAGCTGCCTTCACCTTCTGTGGGTTCCTGGAACCCTGGATCTCTCTGTTCCTGTGTGGATCAGAACCCCTGAACGGGGACTCCTGGATTCCAGAACCGTTCCTGATTAAACTGTTTTCCCTGACCTGGATCGGATTCCTCCCTGCTTCCTGCTGCATCGGGTTCACTCTGCACCGCAGTTTGTTTGGCAGTCCATCGGCTGATCCTGCCTTCTTCAGAGAGGATGGACTGAACTGTTAAATCAGAGTCTCATTGATTGGCTGGTGCCCCCCCCCCCCTGCAGCCGCTGCCGTCTGCAGACCCACAGCAGCCTGCTTCTGTTCTTTTATGTGTTTTGGGTTAATAAACGTTTTGAACTTTCCCACAGTCTGTCTCACCTTGAATACTGGATCCATCTGTCCCTGTTATGACAGATTTGGTGCGTAATTTAAAATAAGTTCAGATGTTGAGAGGACTGCAGCGACCGGCAGACCTCCGAGTGAAACAGCAAATGTTTTAAATGAAAAGAAAAACTTAAAACAGTTTATATTTTTATTACATCGGTGTTGAGACACCAAAACGTGCAGAAAAGTGTTTATTTCTTTTGAAGGATGTGTATTTTTCCGTGCTCTATGCGTTAACTTCTGTCCTCTATCATCCGCTCTCCTTCTTCTAATGTGTTGCAGGATATTTGTGGTGGGGGTGGGCTTCTTCAGCCTGTGCTTTCTAATGACCTCTCTGGGGGGGCAGTTCTCAGCCAAGAGACTGGGAGACTCCCCGTTCACCATCCGTACAGAAGGTAATGACCAGTGTTTGTCTGTGAGCGGATGTATTCCTCTGTGTTGCTTCCAGCAACGCCTCGTAACTGAGCTGCTAAACTCGCTACGGAAATTAGCTGCATGTTTAACTTCATTTACTAACGACTCCTGTTGAGATTTAGCACATTTAGCATTCAGAAGAAAACAGAACTATATTTGTCTATATATATCTATCTAAAGTATATCTATCTAACACAGATTTTTACTATGGAAACATGTTTCAGTCAATGTGCCACAGTCGGTGTCTGATGAATATATTCTCTGCTCATGGATAGCATTTCCCGCTTTTGCAAAAAACACCATTCTATATTATTTCTGATAAAACATTAAGAAAATGTTTAAAAGTTTCCTCTTTTGTTCATATTTGAGTCTGTTTTCTCATTGATGTGTGAGAGTTTAGTGCGATGCATGTTTCCGTGACATGACGTATTTTCTCTGGAGAGAAATATCAGCTGTGCTGCTGCCATCAACACCTTTGTTTCTAGATGTTGGAGCTTGGCCTGTTTTCCAGTGTAGTCCTGTTTCTCTGACTGTGACTAACTGGATGTGCTCTCTTCATCCTCTGACATGGGAGCTGGCTCGTAGCTCGTCTGCCTGGCTGTGTGTTTCCTGGACGGGGCCGCCTGTGGAGCTGGTTGACAGTTGCCTTTTGTATCTATGCTTCTTTTTCTATGTCTGCTTCTGTCTCCTTGAACCCCAGTGGGCCTCAGCAGATGGCCGCTCACACTGAGCCTGGTTCTGCTGGAGGTTTCTTCCTGTTCAAAGGGAGTTTTTCCTCTCCACTGTCGCTACAAGCATGCTTAGTGTGAGGGATTGCTGAAGAGTCAATGAGTCGATGCAATCAGCTGGTTTTCCTTAGATAGAAAACTTTGAATCAATCTGACTGGATGATCTGGTTGAACTGGAAAGTGACCTGAGATGACATGATGTGAATTGGAGCTATAGAAATAAACTGAAAAGAATTGAACTGAATCTGTTCACCAAAACTCTGAATTTTAAGGCATCAATGCATAAGAAATATAAAAATATTAAGACTGCACAACTGTTATTGTTGATTTGGAGACAATTTTGTTTTGTGCAGATATTTCCATTCCATAAAGTTCAGCAGTGATAAAAAACATGGTGCAAAAGACGCATAGATCTGGAAGTTCAGAACATTAATATAAATGGTGCAAATATGCATTATTTTTGGTTTGGTGTCATCAGTGTGATGCAGAGTCTGATGGCGGTGGGGAAGAAGCTGTTGCAGAACCTGCTGGGCGCCAGCAGATTTAGACTTAGGTGACATTGTGACATTATGAATTTGTTCTACATAAAGAAACTGAATCTTCTGTTACATCATTTTATCTAAATAAAATGTATAAATGGGTAGAAATGACTATTAAGTCAAATCTAAACCTTCGTCTGTTGCTGTTCTGATCATTTAGTCTCTGGATCTTTGCTGCCATAGAGACCAAGATTTTTCCTTTAAGAAAAGTTAAACCTCAGCAGTTTGAAACCCTTTCGCATATCAGCGATGCATCACATGTCCAAGAGCGTGGGCCGAAACGGCGGGGCAGAGATAAAGAGGTCTTCATCACATCTCCAGCCGTTGAAGGTGTGAAGATTAAAAGTCAAAGGTCAGAATTGATGGAGGCAAGCCGGTTCTCTCCAGGACCTGTTATAATCAGAAGCTCTGAGGACTTTTCCTCATGATTGCTGCATGTTTACATCCCCTGCGGCGGCTGGAGCCGGACGCGGGTCAGTGTGAGTAGGCGTGAGAGCATGCAGACCATGGTTCCAAGGGTGAATCATTCAGCTGCTTGTGGACGTGGTGTCTATCAGAAATAAATGTATTCAAGCTTGCAGCAGTAGGGATGTTGGTGTGTGAGCAATTAAGCAGCACAGGGACAGATGTGTGTGTGTGTGTGTGTGTGTGTGTGTGTGTGTGTGTGTGTGTGTGTGTGTGTGTGTGTGTGTGTGGGGGGAGCGTTTGGGAATACAGTTATAAATTGAGATTTCTAAATCTGTGAGATAAATTAGGAGTGGTGTGTTTGTGAGTCAGTGTTTGAGTAAAACGTGCTTGATTAATCAGCCATTCATGTGTTGCAGCAGGAGAAGACATCTGGAGCGAGCTCATTAAAAGCTGCACAGTCTCCAGCTGCATCCACCCAGAGGAGCTAACTGGATGTGTGTGTTTGAGCATGATTGTCTGGAGCATTTATGCCGTTAGATGTTTAAAAGCTCCATACAAAGAAAACTGCGTCCGCTTCACCTGTGGCTGGATTTTCCTGTAGGTTTCCCCCCACTTTGCCCGCCTCAGGAGTCTGCTTGCTTTGCCGCCTGTGGCGTTTGCTTGTGTGTCCGTTCACGCGTGTTTGCGACGAGACGCCTTGAAATTGGCTGTTAAATAGGGCGACGGCGGCAATGCGGGACAAGATTGAAAGCAGAGAGACCCGGAGACCGATCCATCTGCTCGCTGCAATATCAGTCCTGAGAAACAACTGGCCCTTTCATTAAGCCTCTGCTCGCCACCTGCAGAGCTGCACCCCCCCCCACACACACACACAGCTGTGTTTTCATGAGATATGGGGACATTCCACTGCCTGGCATTCATCTTATACGGCCTAACTCTAACCACAACTCACCGGACAGAACTTTACCATATGGGGCCCATTGTGGTTCTCCTCCTGCAGCAGCGTGCCGCAGTGAGATTGTTGCAGATATTTTTAATTTATGCCCAATATTGAAGCGTGGCATGCGCTACACTTGAAAAAATGGAAATCTAGATAAGTTATTTTTTCCTAAAATAAGTGCATTTGTTCTTGGATTGAGCAGGTAAAAGACACATTTTGCCAATTTACATTTAAAATAAGAAAACTCAATTGCATTGTCTTATTTCAGGTGCATTTTATGAGTAAAAATACTCATTCTATTGACAAAGCATTTCATTTACCTACTCAAATTAAGAGTAAATACAATTAATTTAAGAATTTTTTACTTTTTACAGTGTATGTTATTCCACGCCACAACGCCAGAGGGCCAATCAGGAACTAGCTGTGGGTCTAGATACGGCCGAGGCGGTGAGGAAGTGGGGGCAAGTTTGTTCGACAACGGAGGGACATGAGGGCCAAAAAGAGCGGGGATCCAGGTGGGAAAAGGGTCCCAGCGTTCTCACCTCGCTCTGCTAGCTGCTCCATCTTCACCAGTCGTTTTCCAATATGGCGGTCAGACAAACAAAACAAGCCGGTAAGGAACCAAACAGGAAATACGCATAGAGTAGAGCGGATGGAGAATTGACCAATCAGAGGCCTCCTGTCTGCGCTCACCTACAATTTTGGAGAGGTGCAGCGGGGTGGAAGGCATAACTGCGTTAACTGCGACGGACACGCAGACGACCTGGTTTCTTAATATAAATCAGCTTTTACCGGGTTACGGACTCCTGGATCTCTTGAATTCTGAACTGTTTCCCTGACCTGGCTTGGATTGGATCATTCACTGGGGCTGCAGCATCTGGTTCAATCGAGGCGTTCGTCTGTTTCTATCTGCATGTTTTCTAAACTAAAACCAGGCTTTGTTGGGCTGCTGGATAAAACTGGAACTAAACGCTATTTCTGACATTTTGAATTGAAAGATCTTCCTGGACGGAGGAAACGTTTTCAGACTGCCCTGTGTGAAAAAGCCCTGTGTATTGTTTTTTTTTTATTTTTTTTAAAAGTTTTTTGGAATCACCTTGTAGGTAAAACACGACCACACATGCTGGGTTCACACCGCACGCAGCAGGCGCAGCAGAAGTAGCGAGTTTACATGTAAAGCAAAAGGTCCTGCAGCGCGTCTGAGCAGCTGAAGCAGCGCGTCGGGAGCGTTTAAGCATCTGACGCGCTGCAAACATGCTTCTGCTCGAGATGGAAAAATTGAACTTTTGCTGCTCGACGCCCCACGTCAACCAATCAGAGAAGCTGATCTGGGAGCTGGCAGGGAGAGAGACACAGCGCTGATGACACAGAGCGCTGTGATCACTCCTCTTAAACAGTTTATTGACGCCTAAATTAACTTCAAATGCAGAAATCTGCCGGCAGAATATGTTGGCTTTTATTATCCTGCTGCCTGTATTTTAGATTATTTAGATGAAAAACACCTACCAGCTGCCGCGGTGAACCGCGAGGAGGCGACCCGGCCAGAGGCTGCTGTTGAAGGGATTCCTACTGTCGGCCGGTATGTGGGGGTCTGAGCGGCTCCGACAGAAATACTTTTAGAAGGCAGGATGGTAATCTGGATGAACTGACTGCATTGATGAAGTTTTCAGGTGGATTTTCTCACTTAAAAACATATTAAAACTACTTTATTCCCACTGATCACAGCAAATATAGCTGCAAGGCAGAGAAAGGATAGTGAAGCTCCGCCCAACTCGCGTCAGACATACTTTACCACCGTGCAGCCAGAGCAGCAAAGCTGCTTCAGCCGCGCGTCAGAACTAACTGGTACAAGCAGCAAAAATGATGCAGCAGATGCGATTTTGCTGCCCTTGCTGCGTCCGGTGTGAACGTAGCATTAGTCATTATAATAAAACTAAATTCGTGTCCAAACCTAAAAAATATCGGGGCGTTGTTCTTGTTCAGCTTGGAGCTGCGCATTGATCCACTCTCAGCTGTGTGTTTCACTCTTACGCAAGCCGCTTACACGGCTCTGCTTTATGCAACCAGCCATGTCTAGCCTTCTTTGAAACCTCATTTCATTGGCTGCAAAGCCAAACAGCCCACATGGTCTCAACCAATAACAGCAGGACTCTATGAGGCGTAATATCGCTCTACTCGCTGCGTTATTAGCTGACGGGCAGGAAGCGCTTGTCCCTGACTCAACTTGAGTCATAAAAAGATGCGGACACTTTAGTCTTGTAGGTAAGAAGACGACGTAAACAAAAATACGAAACATCGTAGACGAACCCTTTAGGAAGTCAGCCTTGTTAACAAGATGCTAAGCATTAGCTATGAGCAGCTAACTA